ATTTCCTTTTGAGTTCCGGGGGGGCCCCCCTGGGGGCCCCCCGGGGGGCCCCCAGGGGGACCCCCGGGGGGCCCCCGGGTCAGGGGGCCCCCAACTGAAGAAGAAATCAGTGGGGCTCTTTTTGCTGACACAGATCCTTGTTTAGTTCCTGCTGAGTTGCTGCCGCAGTGTATGTACAGCGCAGAGGCTGTGGGGCGCTGCTGCAGCATGGAGCGGCACGCGTTTGCTGCTGCTGCTGCTGCTGCTGCTGCTGCGCCGTGTCAGCAGCAGCTGCCGACGGACGCAAGGGGCCACTTCGTGCTGCAGCCCGTCGACGACGAAGTTGCTGCTGCTGCTGCTGCCTTAGCAGCAGCAGCAAAAGTGCAGCTGCAGCAAAAGGTGGCGCGGGGGCTGCTGCTGCAGCCGCAGGATCTCGAGTGTCTGTACACCTCAGAACCCGACTCTTGCTGCTGCTGACCAACTTCTCCAAACTTCGCCAAAGTTCGCCAAATTTTCTCCAAATTTCTGCAGTCAAATCCCAAATTCTTTTTTGTTCATTTCTGCAATTTTATTTATTTTCATTTCGCTCAAAAAGCCCTTTTTCGAGCTCCAAAATCCTTCTCCAATTCTCCAAAAGGGCCTCAAGACACACCCCGTGTCTTCTCCATCTTTGTCCTTTTCTTGTATTTTTTGTCCCTTTTTTGTCTTTTTTTTGTTTCTTTTTTGTCTCCTTTTTGTCTCCCTTTGTCTCCTTTTTGTCCTTTCTGTTTTTTTGTCCTTTTTGTCTTTTTTTATTTTTTTTTTGTTTTTTACCAAGCCCAAGTCCCCCGTCTCCTCCGCAATTTTGCAATTAGATTCAGAATTCGAAAATTAAATTAAATAAATTAAATTGCTTAAATTAATTAAATTAATTTAATTTAATTAATTTGATTAAATTATTGAATTGAAATGATTCGAAAATAACTAAATTGAGTTTATTTAATTCAATTTAAGTGTCAAGTGTCAAAGTGTCAAACGGAGGTGGCTATGTATATGCGTGGGACTTTTAAACGTGCAAATAAAAGAGAAACTAAAAAGAAATAAAAAGAAACAAAAAATAAATAAAAAAGAAGTGAAAAACGAAACAAAAGGGAATAAAAAAGAAATAGAAAGGAAAAAAGAAATAAAAGAGAAAAAAATGGAAAAGAAAGGAACTAAAAGAAATAAAAAAAAAAGAAAAGAAAATAATAAAAAAGTGAGAACAAGAATAAAATAAATAAAAAATAAATAAAAAGAAATAAAATAAAAATGTTGACTAAATGGTATTTTCTGAATTTTCTTTCCGCCTTTGTTAATGATAATTATTTCTTTCCTTCTATTCCCGATTTCATTTATTTCATTTATTTATTTGTTTATTTATTTGTTATTTATTTATTTAATTTATTTATTTACTTTATTTTTGGAGAAGTGCATGCATTATATATGCATATATATGCACACTTGCATTATATACATATATATAACTTTTATTTAGTTATTATATATAATGTATATATATGTCTTACATATATTGTACATTATATAATATACAATACATATAAGTTACATATATTCCACATTATATGTATAATACACGCATGATATATTATTGTATATTATATGATATACTATATATAATATATATATGATGTATATTATATATATATATATATTTTACATATGAATTATATGTACAATATACATATTATATGTATTGTATATTATATAATATACAGTACATATACATATATATTATATATATTGCATGTATAATATATATATACTATATATATTGTAATATTACAAAATATACAATATATACATACATTTATATATATTATACATTATACGTATAATATATACATATTACAATATTGTATATGCCAAAATATACAATATATATAAACTAAATAAAATTTATTTCATTAATTCGAACTTTCGGGGAATTTCCAAAAAACGAAATAACGCATGCAAACGCGGCCGCGCGGTGTACGTACACCGCGTGGCCGCGGCCTGCAAACGAACTTCCTGATTTGCAAACTCAATTAAACAACTAAATAAATAACTAAATCACTGAATAACTAAACAAATAAATAAATAAATAAATAATGATAAATAAATAATAGATAAAGAATTGAATAATTTCAAGGTCCCTCTTCAGCAGCCACCGCAGCTGTCTAGACACCCCAACAGCCCGCCTCCACAAGAGACAAAACCACAGAAAATCAAATAAACAAAAAAGGAGACACAAAAAGAGACACAACACAGAAACAAAACACACAACTCTAGGGCCCCTTTGGGGCCCCTAATGGGGTCCCCTTGGGGCCCCACTAGGGGCCCCTTGAGTCCCCCTTGGAATCCCTCTGGGAACCCCGTAGGGGCCCCCCGAGGGGCCCCTGGGGGGCTCCTGAGGGCGCCCCGAGGGGCCCCTGGGGGCCCCTTGGAGCACCAGTTCAAAAAAAGGCCTACAGGGGACCCCAAAGGACCAGAAGGGCCCCAAGCTGCAAATGGGGGCCCCCACGAGGTACTGCGGGCCCCGCAAGGCCGGCCGTGGGAGCCCCTGGGGGCCCCCCAGAAGCCTCTGTGGGCCCTGGGGGGCCCCCTGGGGGCCCCCAGAAGCCGCTGAAGGCCCCAGGGGGCCCCCTTAGGGGCCCCACAGCGAGCTGCTGTGGGTGGGGGCCCTTTGTTGTGGGAAAGTAGAATTTAGGTGTAGAGTTTAGGGACAAGAAAGAAAAGAAAGAAAAGTAAGAAATCTTAAAAGGGCTTTTGCATGCGCATGCACTCAAGACAGCAGCCGGCGTTTGGGGCTTTCGAGCCTCCCCTCCTCTGCATGCACTACAAAGTCCGTCAGAGAGGCTGGCGTTGCTTCCCGAGTTGAGGCAACCTGCAAGCAGCAGCAGCAGCAGCAGCAGCAGCAGCACAGCAGCAGCAGCAGCACAGCAGCAGCAGCGCAGCAGCAGCAGTAGCGCAGTAGCAGCTTCTCCAGCCCGCCCATATCTCTGTTTCCCGACTGCCGCAGTAAAGGTGGCACGAAAGGGCTTAGGGGGGAAGTAGCAGCAGCAGCAGCAGCAGCATCAGCAGCAGCAGCAGCAAGCGCACAGCTCTGCTCTGCATGCACCCACGGGGCTGTCGTCTTCGAGGGTTTTACACTTTTCACTTTTTGGCGAATCTCCTTTTGGGGGAGACGCCAAAGAATACATTATTACCCCCGCCACGCACTGCTCACACCCAAACCCTAAACCCTAAACCCTAAACCCTAAACCCTAAACCCTAGGTCCTGGGTATTAGAGCCCGCGCGGCAACTCCCGCTGCACGAGACGGCCCAGCGGCCAGGCTACACCTCCACTCCCAAACCCCAAACCCTAAACCCTCCGCCCCCGGACCGAAACCCCAAACCCCAAACCCTAAACCCTAAACCCTAAACCCTCGACTTGCCGTGATCGCGGAGGCGGCAGTCCAGGCGTTGAGGCACTGGTTGGGTTGGATTTCGCAAAAAAGAAAATGCGAAATAATAAAAACTAATGCCACTTTGAGGCCCTGCAGCTCCGCATACACCCCACAACCCTGTCTGTACACCCCACAACCCTGTCTGTACACCCCAGCGGCCCAGCAGCAGCAGGAGCAGCAGCCGCAGCAGCACAGTAAGCCACAAGCTGCAGCGAAAGCAGAACCAGTCACGGCGAAAGCTGCTGCAGCAGATGCAGCAGCAGCAGTACCGATCACGGCAAAAGCACCAGCAGCAGCAGCAGCAGGAGCAGCAGCAGCAGGAGCAGCAGCAGCAGGAACAGCAGCAGCAGCAAACCTTGAGAATGCCAGTGGAGACGGCGCCGAAGCTGGACATTAAATACCAAAGAGTCCCCGAGTGGACCCACCCCGAAATGAACAGCCACAGGCTGCAGCTAGCCACAGTCTGAGCAGCAGCAGCAGCAGCAGCAGCAACAACGAGACCCCTACACAGTTTGCTGCTGCTTGCTGCTTTCCCCCCCTACACCACCCCCGCAGCTGTCCCTAACCCACGGGGGGCCCCCAGAGCCTCGCACTAGGGGGCCCCCAACGGGGTACTACGGGGGCCCCCAGAAGGGTCCTGGGGGGCCCCCTAAAGGGTCCTCCTTGGGTGTTAGGGCTCCCCCAGGGGACCCCAAAGAGTGCTAGGGGCCCCCTAAGGGTACTGGGGGCCCCCGAAAAAGGGTGCTGGGGGCCCCCTAAAGAGGGTGCTGGGGGCCCCCTAAAAGCGGTACTGGGGGCCCCTTAAAAGAGCACTGGGGGCCTCTGAAAAGGGTACTGGGAGCCTCTAAAAAGGGTGCTGGGGGCCCCTAAAAAGGGTACTGGGGGCCCCTAAAAAGGGTACTGGGGGCCCCTAAAAAGGGTGCTGGGGGCCCCTTGAACTGACATGAATAGAACCTCCTTTGCGGCGAATCGGCAGCAGCACCGCCTCTTCGAATTGTGGGGCAGTCCAGATGAGACTCCAGAGAGTTATCACCACGCTGCTGCAGACGCTGCAGCAGCAGCAGCAGCAGCAGCAGCAGCAGCGGAGCCGTCAACACACCAGGCAGCAGCCCCAGGCGCACCCGCAGCACAGCTGCAGCGCCACCCCGCTGCACTCGTCAGTGCTAAGGGTCTAGGGTTTAGCGTTTGCTCCTAGGGTTTAGGGTTTCGGTTTGTTGCTAGGGTTTAGGGTTTAGCGTTTGCTCTTAAAGTTCAGGGTTCACAGTCTAGGGTTTGTTCCTAGGGTGTAGGGTTCCGAAGCTAGAGTATGATCCTAGGGTTTAGGGTTCGTGGCTAGGGTTTAGGGTTTGGGAGGATGTAGGGTTTAGGGTTTAGGGTTGGACCCCATCATGCAGACGAGGTTGGGGCCTTCTACGGGGTTTTGGCCCTTCATGAACTTCTCATTCAAAACAAAAGTTAATCCCATTAACACTGCAGCAACCAGAATCAAAGAAGTTCCCAAAAACTCTTCGTTGCGAAACGTCAGCTCCAGCTGGCAGGCCTTCAGCGAAACCCCCAGACTTATCACCACTATCTGCGCGCAAACCCTAAACCCTAAACCCTAAACCCTAAACCCTAAGCCCTAGCGAGCGAAGCGCACGAGGCGCCGCCCGGCTCAGCGGCTCCCACGCTGCCGAACCCTACACCCTAAACCCCAAACCCTAAACCCTAAACCCCAAACCCTAAACCCCAAACCCTAAACCCTAAACCCTCACGGCGAGCCACTGGGTGGAGCTGAGTCTTCGTTTGAGAATCAAAGCTGACCAAACTGCAGTCCAAACTAAAGACGAACTATCCACCACAATATAAACAGCAGCCCCCGCGTAAATCAACCCCGCTGCAAAACAAGAAGAAAATAATGAAATTAATAAAATAAATAATGAAATAAAAGGAAATAAAAGAGATTTTAAAAGGCAAAAGCAATTCGAAATTGTTAGAGGGGTTCGAGGAGAGCAAACAGAATCAAAAAAGAAAAAAAAGGCAAAAATTGAGGTATTTTATGCCCATAGTCAACGTGCAGCAGCAGCAGCCGCAGCAGCAGCAGCAGATGCAGCAGCAGCAGATGAAGCAGCAGCAGCAGCCCAAAAGCCATCAGGAGACACACATAACCGCAGCAGCTCCAGAACCACTCCAAGTCGCAAAACCCCAAACCCTAACCCCTAAACCCCAAACCCTAAACCCTAAACCCTCCGCTTGCCTTTCTTGAGCAGCTGGTTGACAATGTCCAAAAGAGACACCAGGAGGCCTTTCCGCCAATCACATTCCCTAAAAGGAGACACAATGAGGTGTACAGACAGCTACGGGGTGTATAGGCAGCTGTGGGGTGTACAGACAGCTGCGGGGTGTATAGGCAGCTGTGGGGCGTACAGACAGCTGCGGGGTGTATAGGCAGCTGTGGGGTGTACAGACAGCTGCGGGGTGTATAGGCAGCTGTGGGGTGTATAGGGAGGTGTGGGGTGTACAGGGAGGTGCGGGGTTTTTGTGTTTTGGGGTTTAGGGTTTAGGGTTTAGGGTTTGGGGAGGTTTAGGGTTTTAGGGTTTGCAGCTGAGCCGCAGGGGACTTGGGGAGGCCTGGGAGACAAAAGTCTAGGGTTTAGGGTTTGCAGCTGAGCCGCAGGGGCCTTGGGGAGAACTGGGACAAGGGTTTAGGGTTTAGGGTTTAGGGTTTACCCGAGGGACTTCTTCGTGGGCAAAAGGCCAACCATCATCATCGAGTAATAGTGCGGAATTAAAATTGAGAAAGTGCTCGACTGAAAAACAAAAATAAAAAATAAAAAATAAATGAATAAATACATAAAAACAAACAATTAAATAAAAGAAAATAAATAACAAACAATTAAATAAATAATAAATGAATATATAAAAAATAAAATAAAAAATAAATAAATCAATAAATAAATAATAAATAAATAAATAGATACTCAAATAACAATTAAATAATAAATGAATAAATTAAAAAAATAAATAAATAACAAATAATTGAATAATAAATAAATAAATAAATAAAATAGTGGTATGTTGAAATGGAAGGAAGTTAAAAATAGACGAAGCAGAGAAATGGAAAGAAAATGAAAAGGAATAAAAAAGAAAAAGAAAAATGATAAAAAAGAAATAAAAAGAAATAAAGAAATAAAATTAATAAAAAGAAATAAATAGAAATGAAGAAGTAAACAAAGAAATATGAAAAGAAATAAAAGAAATAACAAGAAATAAAAAGAAATAGAGAAATAAAAAGGAATATAAAAAGAAAAAAAAGAAATAAAAAGAAACAAAAAAGAATATAAAAAGAAATAAAAAGAAAATATTAAAAGGAACACAAATCAGTTTAAAAAGTAGTAAAAAGGAAATAAAAAATTTTACACTAAAAAAAACGGGGAAAAAGAAAGTTAAAAACATAAAAAAGAAATAAAAGAAGAAATAAAAAGGAAATAGAAGAGAAATAAAAAGGAAATAAGAAAGAAATAAAAACGAAATAAAAAAGAGATAAATGAAATATAAAAGAAACAAAAAAGAAACAAGAAGGAGAGAAAAAAGAAATAAAAAGGAATAGAAAGGAGACGAAAACTAACCAAAAAGATGAAAAAAGAAACCAAAAAGAGACAAAAAAGACACAAAAAGAGGAATAAAGAAAAGAAGAAAAAGACCCTTAAACTGGCAAAACGGAGACAAAAAGGAGATAAAAAAGAATCAAAAAAGGGACAAAAAAAGAATCGAAAAGGAGACAAGAAAGAATCAAAAATGAGACCAAAAATAGATTGAAAAAAGACAAAAAAGAATCGAGAAGAGGTCGAAAAAGAGGCAAACAAGAGACAAAAAAGAGATTAAAAAAGAACCAAAAGGTAATCCAAAATGATAACAAAAAAGAATCAAAAAGGGAGAAAAAATAATCAAAAAGAGAACAAAAAACCAGACAAAATGAAACAAAAAAAGACCAAAAATGAGACAAAATGAGGGAAAAAGAGATGAAAAGCAAAAAAAGAAACAGAAAAAGACAAAAAAGAAACAAAAAAGAGGCAAAGAACGAGACAAAAGAGAGAAAAAAAGAAACAAAAAAGAAGCAAAAGAGGAGACAAAAAAGAGACATAAAACAAACGGAAAAGGGACAAAAAAGAGACAAAAAGGATAAAAAAATTGGAAAAAAAGACAAAAAAACATAAAAAGAGACACAAAAGAAGATTAAAAAAAGACGAAAAAGAAGCGAAGGAAGGACAAAAAGTAAAAACGGAAAAGATAAAAACAAAAAGATGAAAAGATAAACAAAACTAATCAATAACTTGATAAATTAATAATAAATAAATAAATAATAAACAAATAAGAAAATAAGTAAATAAGTAAACAAATAAATAATACATAATAAATAATAAATAAACAAATAAATAAATAATAAATAAGAAATAATAATAAATAAGAAATAATAAATAATAATAAATAAAGTCTGACATTGGCGCCTCCATTGAATTTGATTATATCCACCAAAAGAGGCTGGACACAATAAGCTGCTAAGAAGGCAGCAACTAGCGCTAGCTGCAGCAGCAGCCGCCCCGAAGCAGGCGCTGCTGCTGCTGCTGCTGCTGCTGCTGCTGCTGCTGCTGCTGCTGCTGCTGCAGTCCCCATGGCCGCCGTCTGCGAAGGGCCAGCTCCCCCAGCTGCGCGCGACGCGCCGACACGACCGGCAGCAGCAGCAGCAGCAGCAGCAGCAGCTGCGGCAGCAGCAGCAGCAGCAGCAGCAGCTAGCTGCAGAGGAGCGCTCGCTAGCAAGCTAGCTAGCCGGCGGGCAGGCGGGTTGCGCTGGGGCGGGAGCGGCCGCCAAACCCTAAACCCTAAACCCTAAACCCTCGACGCGGGATGGGAGGGAAGCGAGACGCGCCACGAGGAAGGCCTGCTGCTGCTGCATGCAAAGCTTTGAATTGTTTTTCCTGAATTAAATAAATTGGATTTAATTAATTTAATTAATCTAATTAATTTAATCAAAGAAAAAGAAAAGACACAAGAAGGACAAAAGGGAGCTGTGGGGCCGGGGCTGTTGGGTGCGCGGCGGAGGTGTCTGTACACCTGAAGCCCAGCGCTGCAAACCCTCGAAGTGGATTTATTTCAAATTTACAATAAATTAAAATTAAAATTAAAATTAAAATTAAAATAAAACAAAAGAGAATTAAAGGAACTTCCAAACCCTCGGGGCTGCTGCTGTCTCAGCGGCTGCTGGGGGCTGCGGTGTCTGTACACCCCAGCTGCCTCGGGTGTATAGACAGCTCCTTCTTCCCCGCCACTTCCTTTTCCTTTTCCCTCGACTTTTCCCTCAATCGCTCCCAAACCCTAAACCCTAAACCCTAAACCCTAAACCCTAAGCCCTAGACTCGCCGCGAGCTCGATCCGAAGTCGATGCAGCCGCCACAGCCCCAGACCCAAAGCCCTAAACCCTAAACCCTAAACCCTTGACTCTCAGCCTTTGAGCGTGAGCAACACAGGGGCTTTGTGTCTGTGCTGGGGTGTACGTACACCTGAAGCAGCAGCAAACGGAGACAAAGGGAGACACAAGCAGCAGCAGCAAAAATACAGCAGCAAAAATGCAGCAACAAAAATGCAGCAGCAAAACCCTAAACCCTAGGGCCCTCGCGGGCTGAGTCTTCCAAAGGGCACGGGGGCCCCTCGGGGTCCCCCAGCTTTCCTACAGCAGCAGCAGCAGCAGCAGCAGCAGCAGCAGCAGCCAGTCAGCAGCAGCAGTAGCAGCAAGAACAGCGGCCGATCCGCAGCAGCAGCAACAGCTCATCTGCAGCAGCAGGAGATGCGGCAGTGGTAGCTGCAGCGGGTTAACCGCACGAGCAGCAGCAGCAGCAGCTAGCCAGCAGCAGCAGCAGCAACAGCAGCAGCAGCAGCAGCAGCAGCAGTGATGTTTGGGTGCGCGGGCGGCCACAAAAGCCGCCTGAGCGTCAGCAGCGATGGTTTATTTTTTTATAAAAAAACGACAAAGGCAGAAGCCCACTTTTATTTGCTGCTGCATGCGCTCGTGCAAAGGAAAGCAGCAGCAGCAGCAGCAGAAACAGCAGCAGCAGCAGCAGCGTCGGGGGCAGCAGAAACAGCAGCAGCGGCAGCAGTTCAAGGACCAGAACCAGCAGCAGCAGCTGCTGCTGCGGCACCAGCAGCAGCAGCAGCAGCAGCAGAAATGGCAGCAGCAGCAGCAGAAACAGCAGCAGCAGCAGCAGAAACGGCAGCAGCAGACACAACAACAGCAGCAGCAGCAGCAGCAAGTACCTTTGCTGTAGATCTGGTGAATGGAGGCTGTCCATTGGGCTGCAAAGAAAACTGCCCGCTGCTGCTGCTGCAGCAGCAAGAAAAGATAAATGGAAAAGATGGAGGAGGCGGCTCGGAGTCTGCTGCTGCTGCTGCTGCTGCTGCAGCAGGAACAGCAGCAGCAGAAACAGCTGCGGAGCTCCTGCCGTTCATGCCCAGGCTGTTTGGAGTTTATTTAAATGACAAAAAGGAGACAGCTGCAGCAGCAAATAAGGAGACAACTGCAGCAGCAAATAAGGAGAGAGCTGCAGCAGCAACTGCAGCAGCAAATGAGGAGACAACTGCAGCAGCAACTGCAGCAGCAAATGAGGAGACAACTGCAGCGCCAAATAAGGTGACAGCTGCAGCAGCAAATGAGGAGACAGCTGCAGCAGCAAATAGGGAGACAACTGCAGCAGCAAACAAGGAGACGACTGCTGCAGCAACTAGGGAGTCAACTGCTGCAGCACATAGGGAGACAACTGCAGCAGCAAATGAGGAAGCAACTGCAGCAGCAAACGGAACAACTGCAACAGCAAGTGAGGAAGCAGCAGCAGCAGCAAATGAAGAAAAAGGAGAAGACAAAGAAGCAGCAGTTTTGTGTCTGGAGAATTTGCTGCTGGGCCTCGAAGACCCCTTAGTGATAGACATTAAACTTGGTGCGCATTTTTATTTAATTTAATTTAATTTAATTTAATTTAATTAATTAAATTGAATTAAATTAAATCAAATTAATTATTCAAATTCACTAGTTTTGCTTCTAAATTGGCAAACGGTCAACCGCTTTTTAGGATGCATGCAGACTAGACTAGCAGCAGCAGCAACAGCAGCAGCAGCAGCAGCAGCAGCAGCAGCAGCAGCAGTTGCAGCAGTTGCTGCTGCTGCTGCTGTGCTGCAGCCCCTTGTGCCGCTGCTGCAGCTGCTGCTGGGTGTCGGTGGCTGCTGCCTCTGCCGCTGCCGGCGTCCATCTCTCTCCGCTGCTGCTGCTGCTGCTGCTGCTGCTGCTGCTGCTGCTGCTGCTGCTGCTGTTTAGGGACTCGGCTGCACGGGGAGGGCGTGAGCGTGGGGCGGCGGCGGCGGGCGGAAGCGCAAGCTGCTGCTCGAGGTGCTGCTGCACTTGGTGTCTCCTTTTGCGGCTTGTGGGGACTGCAGCAGCAGCAGCAGCAGCAGTGGCAGGGGGGGTCCCGTCTTGCTGCTGCTGCTTTCCGCCCCACAACTCTTGCTGCTTACCAGGAGCTCTTCCGCGCCTTTCTGGTGTCTGTACACCCCACGCCTGCTGCGGTGTACAGACACCTCGCGGCTTCTCTCAAAACTCTTTTTCTTCTTCTCAACAAAAAACATTCCCCACAACTCTTCGGCGCAAGTTTGCTCTTCGTCGCCGGTACCCTCCAACGGGGGCCCCACGGGGGCCCCCAGGGGGGCCCCCTGGGGCGAATTATCCGGGACTGGCGGGGGCGCGGGGCTCGCGCAGACCGCCAGCGCACGAAAGAAGATTATTCCTGGTGCTGCTGCTGCAGCAGCAGCTGCTGCTGCTGCTGCTGCATGCATGCAGCCGAGTTTTGGGGCTTTCTTGCTGCAGCTTGTCTTGATTTATCTGCTTCTTCTTGATTTGTTATGATCAATTGAAGTCCGCATTTAAACGGGGGGACCTCCTGGGGTGTGTGTACAGCTCCTGCGGGCCTGCACAGGGTGTACGTACACCTCAATTCTTGACTTAGGGACTTTCTTCTTAAAGATATTCTACAAACTCCCCAGCTAGCCAAACAGCTAGCTGTCGAAGTGCTTAGCTAGCTAGCTAGCTAGCTAGCTAGCTAGCTAGATACGGCTAGCTAGCTACATCGCGAGCTAGCCACCTAACTAGATGGCTAGCTAGCTAGCTAGCTAGCTCGCTAGGTAGCTAGCTAGCTAGCGAGCCAGTCCCCCTCGCACCCAGCTAGCTGGCCAGCTAGCTAGCTAGCTAGCTAGCTAGCAGCACAGAGAAGAGTTCAAGACCGACTTGCTACATTAAAAAAAAGTTCTCTGGCGCGTTAGCTCGCTCTCTAGCCAGCTAGCTAGCCAGCCAGCTAGCTAGCCAGCCAGCTAGCCAGCTAGCTAGCCAGCTAGCTAGCTAGCTAGCTGTGTCTCCCTGCGCCCCGCGCTGGCTCCACCCCTGCAGCAGCTCCTGTACCCCCCCAGCCCCGAGGCCCCCCTGGGGGGCCCCCGCAGCAGCTTCGAGTGCATGCAGCAAATTCGAAAGCCCCAAAAGGCAGCCCTTCTCGGGGCCCCCCAGCCCCAAACTTGCATGCGCAAAGTCCACCAACTTCACCATCGCCACGCGCTCGGGGGCCCCCCCAGGGGGGCCCCCCGGGCCCCCCGACAGCCCC